TCATGGATGGGTCTTCCAGCATGACAATGACCCGAAACATTGTCAACAAAGGAGTGGCTCAAGAAGAAGCACATTAAGGTCATGGAGTGGCCAAGCCAGTCTCCAGACTTCAATCCTATAGAACATCTGTGGAGGGAGCTGAAACTTCGAGTTGCCAAACAATAGCCAAGAAACCTTAAGGATTTAGAGAGGATCTGTAAAGAGGAGTGGATCAAAATCCCTCCTGAGATGTGTGCAAACCTGGTGACCAACTACAAACAACATCATACCTCTGTGCTTGCCAACAAGGGTTTCTGCACCAAGTACTAAGTCATGTTTTGCTTGGGGATCAAATACTTATTTCACTCACTGAAATGCAAATCAGTTTCCAACCTTTATATAATGTGTTTTTTTCTGGATTTTTTGGTTGGTATTCTGTCTCTATATGTTAAAATAAACATCAAATTATGGTTGTTTTTTGTGTATATTGTCATAATTATTCATACGTTATGAATAACAATAAAGATTAATTAATTAATTGTCAAAATAACAAAGCATTATGCAGATATAGGCTTTTGTGTGGAGCAGCATTTACTACAAACCAAACTGCAGAAAACAACAGTTGCTTTTTATTATTGGTGATTTGACCTGAATGCACATTTTGTTAATAAATGATCGTGCCAGAAGTATGGCGGAAAAACATCCAGATTAATGTGGATGTAGTCTAATTTTGTTCAAGTAAATTTTAAAGTTGTTGTATTAAAGTTATGTTTCTTTCAGATGCCATTGCTGGTTCATCATCTGATGAAGACGAAGAAACAGCCTCGACCTCAAAAGATCAGCTGAAGAGTTTCTCCTGCATCACCTGTGGAAAAACATTGAGTTCACAGGGTCATCTAGTGAGACACGAGAGAACACACACAGAACAGAAAGACTTCAGCTGCAAGAGATGCGACATCAGCTTTCCTACCGCAGAAGAGAGGAGACTTCATTCAAAAGAGCACAGGGTGAAGAAGGAGTTTCGCTGTGAACAGTGCGGGAAGGATTTTTTCACCACTGCTCAAAAAATGAAAGTTCATATAAAGACACACAACGAAAAGTCTTTCCAGTGCAGCGAATGTGAAAAGTATTTCGGCACCAAAGCAAATCTGGAAGCTCATAAGCGAATCCACACGGGAGAAAGACCGTACAAGTGCCCTCACTGCGAGAAGACCTACAACCACGGATCTCATCTGAAGAAACATGTGCGTGTTCACACCAATGAGAGACCGTACCAGTGCAGTGAATGTGGGAAAACCTTCACAGAGTCAGGCAGTCTAAAGTCACACCAGAGAATCCACTCTGATGAGAAACCGTATCAGTGCAAACACTGTGACAAACGCTTCCGGCAGAAATCCCATCTGAAGTGTCACGAGAGGACTCACACCGGAGAGAAACCGTATCTGTGCTCCCACTGCGGGAAGAGCTTTTCCAATCCGACACATTTCAAAGTTCATCAAAGAATTCACACGGGAGAAAAACCGTATCACTGCAGCGTTTGTGAGAAGAGGTTCAGAAAGTATGTTAATTTACAGAGGCACACAACGATTCATACCAGAGAAAGACAGTTTAAATGCTCACAGTGTGACAAGACGTTTGCTCGATCAGACGTCCTGAAGGTCCATCAGCGAGTTCATACAGGAGAGAAACCTTACCGTTGCTCCATCTGCGGCGAGAGATTTGCTTATTTAGGTAGCTTTCAGACCCATCAGAACAAACACGCTAAAGAACAAACTGCTCCAGAATCATCAGAGTGACTTTTCAGCCTTGGCTTTATTTCTGCAGTTGCTTTCATCATTCATGTGTGTGGAAGACCATTTTTGCAAAATAAGAAAAAATTCATGCTTTGCTAAGTCATAATTATGACATAAAAATTCATGATTATGATATGAAAAGTCAAAATTATGACAGTCATAATTATGGGATTAAAAAAATTAAATTATGACAGCCAAAAGTTTGACCAAGTATATATACATTTAGATTTTTTTAATCTCACAATTAGTCATACAAAGGACTTAGTATGTTATAATTTATACTTTTATGCCACAATGACTAATATATATATTGAGACCAAAGAACACAGCTGTGATGTGCGGCAAAAGGTTGTTGAGCTTCACAAAATGGGAAGTGGCTGAAAGAAAATAGCAAAAACACTGAAAATGCCCATTTCCACCACCAAGGCAATAATTAAGAAATTCCGGGCAATTGGAAGTGTTATGAATCAGCCTGGAAGAGGACGTGTGTCTATCTTGTCCCAACACACTGTCAGGAGGATGATTTGAGTGGCCAAAAAATCTCCAAGAATCACAGCTGGGGAATTGTAGAAGTTAGTTGGGTCTTGGGGCCAGAAAGTCCAAAACTACAATCCGACGTCACCTACATCGCCACAAATCATTTGGAAGGGTTTCAAGAAAAAAGCCTCTACTCATCCAAAAATAACCTCGTGTCTTCAGTTTGCCAGACACTACTGGAACTTCAAATGGGATGGGGTTCTATGGTCAGATGAAACCAAAATAGAGCTTTTTGGCAATAAACACCAGAGGTGGGTTTGGAGCACACAGAGAGGTAGCCATTTGGAAAAGTACCTCATGCCCACAGTTAAATATGGTGGTGGGTCTTTAATGTTTTTGTGCCAGAGGACCTGGACATCTTGTTAGGATACATGGCATCATGGACTCTACCAAATATCAACAGATGTTAATTGAAAACGTGATTGTCCTCTGCCAGAAAGCTTAAAATGGGCCGTGGTTGGATCCAGCAGGACAATGATCCAAAGCCTACATCAAAATCAACACAAAAATGGTTTACTGACCACAAAATCAAGGTCTTGCCCTGGCCATCCCAGTCCCCTGTCTTGAATCGCATAGAAAACATGTGGGATGAACTGAAGAGTAGAGTCCACCAGCGTGGACCTCAAAATCTGAAGGATCTGGAGCCATTCTGTATGGAGGAATGGTCTTGGAACAACCTCATCAGCCACTATTGGAGAGGCTGTTATCTTGGCAAAGGGAGGCAGCACAAAGTATTGAACAAAAGGGTGCCAATAATTTTGGCACACATATATTTAACAAATATATATGTGTGTGTATATATATATACATATTGTAGCGTCTGGACCAATCAGACACACAATATATATTTTGTTAGTTATATTTAACAAACACTCTGTAACACCCCTCAGTTTACAAGCCATATGAGGGTCTATGGACCCTTCCCCCGAAATGCGTCTTAACACCTCAGAAAGGCAGAATAGGCCTCTGATTCCATGGCAACCAATGCTGATATCACTGGTTTTATTGCCCAAAGGAATGGGGTAGAGAAACTCACTACATTTTCCATAGGAAAGACACAATGCACAGTAAAAATGGACTCTTCTCTAATTAATTCATAGGAAAACCTTTCTTTGAATGAACACACATATCCTTCAGGTCATTGTGTATGTTGTTACTGTCCTTGTATATTGTCTTTTATATTGTATACTGTTTTATGCAGGCTTATGATGGAACCACTCGTTCCTGTCATCTTACCTATATGTAATCCTACCATGTTTAGTATCTAGGAATTCGTCTTCTGATGATCTAAACGAGAGTGTATATTATATGTTGGTACATAAGCAATATATTAGTGTTCTGAGAATCTTTAGTAATTTCGATTCAAGTTCCATATGAAAATTACCATGCTT